ATAAACAAGACTGACAATACTAAGCCCAAACAAGGACTTGGAGCAACTGACACCCTCTGATTCTATTAGTAGGAATGGAAAATGGTACAACCACTTTGGACAACTCTTTGCAGTTTCTTAAAAAGTTAAACATATATCAGTCATATTACTAAATCATTCTAGTCCTAAGTATTTACCCCAAAGAAATGAAAACATATGTCCACACAAAGAATATGAAAGTTCAGAGCAGCTTTACTCATAACAGCTAAAAACTGGAAACAACCCAAATGTTCAACTGGTGAATGGAGAAACAAAATGTGGCATATAAGGGAACATCACTCAGCAATAAAAAGTAATGAACTGCTGATACACACAATATAGATAAATCCCAAAATCACGTTGAGAAAAAGCCAGACACAAAGAAGTATATTCTGCATGATTCCATTTATATAAAATGTAATCTAATCTATGCTATCAGAAAGCACATCAGTGGTTGTCTGAAGCTGCAGACAGAGGAACACACGGACTGCAGAAGGTACAAAGATTCTTTTAGGGGTAAAGGAAATGTTCCATATCTTGACTGTGGTGATGGCTCCACAGGAACACAACTACCAAAACTCATGATACGTTTGAAATGGAAGCAGTTTCTTGTACATAAACTGATCATCTGTGTTTTCCTGACTATGCAAAGGCATTTGACTATGTGGATCATAACAAATTATGGATGAACACTGTGAAGAATGGGAATTCCAGAACACTTACTTGTGCCCATGAGGAACCTATACATAGGCCAAGAGGCAGTCGTTGGAACAGAGCAAGGTTATACTGCATGGTTTAAAATTAAGAAAGGTGGGTGTCAGGGTTGTATCCTTTCATCATACTTATTCAATCTGTAAGCTGAGCAAATAATCGGAGAAGCCTGAATACATGAAGAAGAACGCAGCATCAGGATTGGAGGAAGACTCATTAACAACCTGTGATATGCAGATGGCACAACCTTGCTTGCAGAAAGCAAAGAGGGCTCGGAGCACTTACTGATGAAGATCAAAAACTTCAGCCTCCAATATTGATTATACCTCAACATAAAGAAAACAAAAATCCTCACAACTGGACCAATAAGCAACATCATGATAAACTGAGAACATACTGCAGTTGTCAAAAATTTCATTTCACTTGGATCCACAATCAACACCCATGGAAGCAGGAAACAAGAAATCAAATGATGTATTACATTGGGCAAATCTGCTGCAAAAAGCCTCTTTAAAAGTGTTAAAAAGCAAAGATGTCTGTCACTTTGAGGACTAAGTTGCATCTGACCCAAGCCATGCTATTTTCAATCACCTCATATGCATGTGAAAGCTGGACAGCGAATAAGAAGACCAAAGAAGAGCTGATGCATTTGAATTCTGGCGTTGGTGAAGAATACTGAATATAACATGGACTGCCTGAAGAACAAACAAATCTGTCTTGGATGAAGTACAGCCAGAATGCTCCTTAGAAGCTACTACGGCAAGACTTCATCTCACATACTTGGGACATGTTATCAGGAGGGACCAGTCCCTGGAGAAGGACATCATCCTTGGTAAAGTAGAGGATCAGCCAAAGAGAGGAAGACCCTCAACGAGATGGACTGACACAGTGGCTGCAACAACAGGCTCACACATTCCAACGATTGTGAGGATGGCAGAGGACCGGGCAGTGTTTCATTCTGTTGTACATAGGGCTGCTATAAGTTGGAACTGACTCAATGGCATCTAACAACAACCACCTAACAAAAAGTTGATACCTATTTGTCAGTTTGTTGTAATGTGGTGGCTTGCATGTTGCTATGATGCTGAAAGCTATGCCACTTGTATTTCAAATACCAGCAAGGTCACCCATGGTAGACACGTTTCAGTATAGCTTCCAGACTAAGAAGAAAGGCCTGGTGATCCACTTGCAAAAATTAACCAATGAAAACCCTATGGATCACAGAATAGCGTCTGAGGTTTCAGCTTGCTTACTTTGGACACGTCATCAGGAAAGACCAATCGCTGAAGAAGGACATCATGTTTGGTGACTTGGAGGGCCAGTGAAGGTGAGAGAAGCACTCAATGAGATAAACTTACCCAACGGCTGTAACAATGGACTCAGAAATGTCGACGACCATTAAAATGACACAGGACCTGGCAACTCTTATACATAGGGTCGCCGTGAGTCAGAAGAGACCAATGGTAACTAACAACAAAGTTGACTGGGGTGGAGGTAGGAAGACTATAGTATAATTTGTTTGACTTCTTTCCAGATTCAATTTGAACTTTTAATGAACACTTGCTATGTGCTAGGTATTGTATCAGGTACTGAGATACAAATATCACAGATTATCATAAAGAATAGGGTAAAACAGTAGAGTGAAACTACAAGTAAAATACTAGCTAACTTAGTTAAGGCATTTACTTTTCAGCAGGCACTGCCTGGAGTACTTTACATTCTGTATCTCATTTAATCCTCCTAAGAATCCTGTGAGGTTGGTGTTGTTATTATTTCCATCTGCTCATTAGGACACTGGGGCTTAGAGAGGCTAAAACATTTGCCCTTTGGAAAGGGGTAGAGCTGGGATAGAAAATAAGAGTCTCACTCCAGAGCCCAAGCTTTGCCCACTACACCTCACTGCCTCTCCAAGTAGCTCCCTCTAGGGACTTTGAGAACCCCAATCAGTCTTAATGTGAAGGGGGGTACTGGCTGGTCTAGGCCATCTTTTCAGTCCAGACCAAGTTTTGAACCAGAGTCCAGGCAGCAGTGACATATTTATCAGACAAGGTGGAAATATGGTCACAGTTATTTGTGAGGGCATCTTAAAGTCAGTGTTATGACAGTGCTATCTGCCTGTCAGAAATTCCAGGGAGAGAAAAACCGCTTCGCCAAAAACAAACTTGCTTCTCAATTTATTGTGAGTCTTAAGCCCCACTAAGGGATTTTTTAAGGGAGTTGCTGATCCCCCTCATTCCTTCCTCTTGTCATAATCCTGCCTAGGTGGCTGACATGGCCGCTCATCTATCTCTCCTTCACACTAGAGAACAAAAGTGCTGGAGGCACAGCTTTACTCTGCCTACAGACACCGAACGAGAAAGGAGAGCGACGGAGGGAGGAGAGGGCCGGAACTGCAATCTCCCTCACCCTCCTTCATGCTGTAAGTGCCTCACAGCCTACCCCACCGGACTAAGACCCCGTCTTCCGCTTCCTCCTTTTCTAGCAGAGATATTTAGCTCACATGCCCTACAAGCTTTACTTCACAGTTATTGATGGTGAGCAGGTCCCTATAGTGAGGATAATGTATTCAAAGCTCTCCTCTTCTTTGTTTTTCTTAAACTGGTCAGTCTCCACGGGGATTCACTCAGCCCTAACCCAGACTGGTTGAGGAGGGGGTGGGGCAGAGAGGCATGGTGAATGCAGAACGGCTTGTTTCCTATCACAGGGATATTAAGGTCAGGGATTACTACATCCATAAGGTGGGAGGTCAGGCTAAGAGCCCAACTCTTACAGGAAGATGCAGGGCTGCACTTAGAATGGCTAAAAATGGCAAAAACCTGTAATCTCACAGTTTTCAGGCTCCACACAGTGCTGGACAAACAGCAGGTGCTCAATAAATGAGAAGAAAACACAAATTCAGAAAGGATATTGAAAAATAATCCTTACGGGGGATTATTTTGCAGTTAGTGCAAGATTCATGGAGCATACTAAGCAGGTTGGACGTGTCACAAAAAACAACACAGGCAGCTCCAATGTACTCTGGAGAAAACGAAACAAAATATGGACTATGGATTGCTGTGTAGGAAACCTCAAAGGGCTACACAAGGCAGATGCTGTAAGACCACATTTCATGTGTGATTTGTGATGTTGTTTTAACGTAAGAATGGTTTTTCCATTAGGCGAATCTTTAATACCATACATGTGACTTCAGTAAGTCCATACATTTTAAAATTAAGATGTTTTCCAATGTATTTCAACATGCTAAACTCATTAAAGTAAAATTAAAGCTCATTTATTATTAAAGTGTTAAATGAAACACTCACTGATTGATTACATAATGTATTTACATAGTTTCCAAATTTCTCAAAACGTAAAAAGGTATATAGTAACTTATCTGCCCAGGTCTCACCTTTATTAGTTTGTATTCTATCAGTTTCTGCATGCATTATCAGGTAAATATGAACATATGTTCTCATTTTCCTCACAAAAGTTAGTATGCTACATTATTTTCAACCTAGTCATGACTAATGCAAATAGTATAAAAAGTTGAGTACTTTTTAAAGGGAGAACTAAGTAACCTTCCTACCACACAAGCCACTCAACAATGCCCAAACTTGTGCTTCAAGGCTGTGTTAAAACTTTCACAGAGAGGTCCTGGTAGGGTACACAGGCGCTCAAACAGTTTTTACTTACCAGCTCCATTCCTGAAAGCTTTTGAAAATGATAAAAGTAATTTAATTTTGCACTTGCCAAGTATCAGCACAGTAATCACAAAATTTTATGAAGACTGCTATGCCTCTTTTGTGAGGCATTGCTGGTTCAATGGTAGAATTTTTGTCCGCCACGAGGGAGGCCCAGGTTTCAATTCCTGGCCAGTACACCTCATGCACAGCCACTATCCATCTGTCAGTGGAGGCTTGCCTGATGCTATGATGCTTAACAGGTTTCAGGGGAGCCTTCAGACTAAGACGGACTAAGAAGAAAGGCCTGGAGATCTACTTCTGAAAATAAGCCAATGAAAACCCTATCAATCACAACCATCCAATTCACAACCAATCATGGGGATGGTGCAGGACCAGACAGCATTTTGTTCCCTTGTGCATGCGGTCACTAAGGGTTGATTCAAAGGCAGCTAACAACAATACTCGTCTTTTGCTACATTTGTCATTCATTCCAGAACACTTCTGAGCCAACAACAGCACACTCCCCGCAAAAAACAAAACAAAGTAGACACTCCCTCAGGTATGGGTCCTCGATCCATCTCCAACAGATGAAAGAAACTCTTTCCCTACCTGTCATCCTTGCTACCAGAGGCTCCTTCAGGGAGAGATGGCGGGTTTTTATCGCTGTATCCCAAGGCCCAGCATGGAATTCGGCATATAACAGGAGCTCAACAAAAGTTCGCTGAAAGAATAGATTCTTAAGAGACTGCTGGAATTCAAATTTATATTTTAATATAACAATAACTGTGTAAAATCCAAGAATGCAAATTTTAAAAATTATTAGCAACCTGAAAACATGTTTTGGTATTCCCAAATGACAAAAGGGGAGCAGATGGGAGAGGAAAAGCCTGTTTTCCTAGGTTCACTTTCTCCCGATTTGCTGAGCATCAGATGAAAACCTTGCAGGGACTCGCAGAGGGCCCTTAAAATAAAGGATACTACTGTTTATAATCAAAGTCAACTGTGAACATAAGAGATGTCAATGCTTCTGGCATTTTTGACAAATTACCTCCCACGGCTTTGCCAGGATAGACAGACATTAAATAAAGCGCCAACAATTAATGCCTTCAACGAAAAAATAAAAGCAAAAACAAATACAAACACCACCTCTAGGGAAAATAAAACAAGACCACAGAAATCTTAATGCTGGCTAAAATGTGCCTCACACAGAGAGCACAGTCATCTTAGGATTATGCAATAGCAAATACTAGCCATAAACTTCAGGATCAATTTTGTGAACATTTAAAATTTGTACCTTTGCAAGGTCTATTACACAGGATGTTACAGCAAAATGCCTTTAGAAAGCAGTCTTGCTGTCCAAATTACATATTAGAAAGGTCACAAGTTAACAGACTGCCACCAATGTGCGTTATGTACATGACATGTACTCTTCCCTCTCAAATCTCCTGCCCTATTTCTTTTCTGTTTTAAGTCATGGTCAAAATCAGGTACTTTTGGAACAATTATTTTACCTGTCTGAACCAAGTGAAGTTTGGTAAAAACAGAAAGGCAAAATCCTTCCTGCATTTTCTTTACTAGACCAGGTATGCAAAAGGACATCATTACTCAAAGCAGCCATTAACTTAGCCATCCTATGTATTTATTGTCTTCTGCCACTTTAGAAAAACAAAATAATGCTTTAAGCAAGAAAGTTTGTCCTACTTCCAGTAAGTAAAATCATAATTAGCCTAAGGAGATTTGACACTGAGAATGCACAAGTCATTTGACACTGAGAATACACTACTAAGAAATTAGCAGGTGAGGTTTTGGTTTTTGTTGTTGTTGGCACAGTGGTTAAGAGCTCGGCTACTAACCGAAAGGTCAGCAGTTAGAATCCACCTTGGAAACCCTATGGGGCAGTCCTACTCTGTCCTATAGGGTTGCTATGCGTCAGAATTGACTCAATGGCACACAATAACAACAACTAAGAAATTACTTCTTGGTGGCCTATAAAACTCCATCTTAATCTTTTCTTCACTAATTATTCTGTAAAGTGATCAACTTTAAGAATGCATTTAACAAACACATATATTCAAGAGAAACTGCCTGGTTCATTCTATAAGATAGAGTCGTATCGTATAGTTTCAGTTTTTGCCTAATGTGAACTGTAGGTTTCCATTTTGAAAGAATTCTCTGAACACAATATAAATATCAAGTGCCAGAAACACCAAGATAAACAATCAGTATTTAAAAATGAGCTAAGACACAAGGTTCATATGATACCAATGGGACGTGTGTGGAAAGTTTTAAGAAAAAGTGCTGCTGCAATAGACCTTAAGATATTGGCTAAGTATGACATATCCAGTTTAGCATTACAGATTACAGGGGCTGACAGCTGAAAGATAGCCTGAAATCAGGACGAATGAAACTATTCTAACATTTTTTATATATATACACACACATATACATATACAGATATATATATATGCATGAGTATGTATACTCATATATATATATATACACACACACATACATATATAAATATAAAAGATACCTTTTACAGGAGAGGAGAAAATCCATTTTTCTTTAACATGAAATTGACAAAAAATCAAAAGTCAACAAATCCACAGAATTCAGGCTAGATTCTCAGTCCACTAGAGATTGCCATCAACGTGATCCTCTTCTAATTGTAAAGAAATGGCACTGGAATCATATGGAACTTTCTGAGCAGTTTCATCAGAGTCATATCTTTAAGTCTTACGGTATTAAGTGACAAGGGAGGATCACTTACAACGAGGTGTGAGACACCTTGCTTCTGAGTCTGGAAGCTCTGGATAATGTGAGCTTTATATACTGGCCACCTTTTGAAGTCAGATGCTGGCCATGGAGTTGGCATCTGTAATCATGGATGTCTGACCTAAGTACCAGAGTCCCTGGGTGGTAAAAACAGATAATGTGCGTGGCTGCTAACTGAAAGGTTGGAGGTTAGAGGTTTGAGTCCACCCAGAGGTACCTCAGAAGAAAGGTCTGGTGATCTACTTCCAAAAAATCAGCCACTGAAAACCTTATGGAGCAGAGAACTACTCTGACACACCTGGGGTCACTATGAGCCGGGGTCACCATGAGTTGGAGTCCGCTCAAGGACAACTGGTCACTGGTTGACATAAGTACCAGTCTTACTAGGAGGTGAAGCTGTATTGATTGCTCATACTTGGGTAAAGATGCACTGAGCCAAGGAACACTTACCCACCTTATCCCAATCCCTACATTAAGGGTTCCAAGTTCTCTCATGGAGGATTAGGTATTCTCTAGAAACTCTGGACCCTGCAGGGTGGTGCACTAGAAGACTGCATTTTCCTATCAACTTTTATTCAAAACAGGAGATAAGGTCCAGCATGCACTTCTGTTTTCACTATGCCGTTTTTCTATAAATAAGCTTTTTCCTATTAATAAGCTTTCAGTGGCTTCTCATTTTCAAGTTCCGACTACCCTGCCTGACTTCTAATGTTCCTTAGCCTCTTCACCTTATTTTCCACTACTGTCCAACATGCAGCCTGGCCAGGCCAATAAAAAAACTCTGAATTTTGGTCTCTTATAGTGTTCTTTAGCTTCCTAAGCATACTGGCCTTGAGGTTATCTTTTTCTACTTTGAGCCACTGTGAGCTCAGGAAATGCAAACCACTTTTGATATCAGACTAAGCAAAATACAGCAAAGGAAATCTGTTACAAAATGAGTTGTGTACAAGACTGACTTTGTTAGAACTCATTGTCCTTGGCAGGGCATCTAGCACAGATCTTGGCCAGAGAAGACTCTCAAATATCTGCTGAATTCTCCAAACCAAATGATATATTTAGCTCAGTCCCAATATTTCCCCCTCCATTAATATAAGAGCTAATTTGTAGCTCTTATATTAATGGAAAGGACAATACAAATGGAAATCAACCTCCTCAATTCCAGAGGACAATCTCAAATCACTGCTCTGCTAAGATAATGCTCTGTAAACAGATTCTGCCACTGCTGACCAGCTGTGGAGCAGGGTGAGTCTCTTGCCAAGGCTTAAGAACAAATGGGAGGTGCCCCTGTGGCACTCACAGGACCATCTCATTAACAGAAGCACTGACAGAGAATACTGAAGAGAAGTTCAAAAGTTAGGCACCTAATAATCAAAAAATCCAGTAATCCTTTGATTTTTATAAACACTAAGAAAAATATTAAGGACAAAATTCGTATATACAAAAATCTCCTTTGACAGTAGTATACATGGATGATACTAACACCTACATAACGGAGACGTGAAGCTAGACTTTTGCTGTCTGTATCTAATGTTGTGGGAAGTATGATTTGAATTCTCCATTCTGGTAAAAGTGAGCCATACTATAAAACAGCTTCAACTGAATGGAGCACCCTTTCACGACTCTTTTTAAACACACACACACACACAGACACACACACACAGACACACACACACACACACACAATATTTCTCTTTGTTTTCCTTAACAGTGGTTCATTTTTCGAAACTGGTAAAGTTTTAGGCTTAAATTTTAGTGTTGTCTTTCTTTACAGTCCATTTCCTGGGGCCAAGTAATTTCTTTAAGTATTCAAAACATATGCTACCGTAGCTGCATGTTCAAACACCCATGTGGAAATAGTCCCCTATACATTCATTCTTAAAAGCTTGGAGTATGCAAACAAAGATGGGACGGGCAGAGGGCCAGTTAATAAATTTCATTTCCTACTAGCATGTACATGAAACAGAGCAATGGGGAGTAGCCTCTTTGGGGAGACCCAGAGCACGACTCATCTGCTCTGTGAATTAAACAGTGTTACCTCTGATGGCCCACACCACATTTTTTTTTTTAACCACCTCTTAAAATATATGGATTTCTAGTGCTCATAAATGCAGCGAGGAAGCTGGTGCCAAGGAGGCAATCACACAGTAGTGGACACGAGCCGTGGAAACCTGTCCATGGGTTTCTGCTCAGCCATTTTTGCACTTGTTCTTTTCAACTGAAACCCCTAATCAAAGGGCAATTTTCTAAAGGAAACCTGCTTTTGTAATCAACATGCACACTGGTTTCAATAATGATTTACCACCCACTCTACTCCAGGCTGTGAAAACTGGCTGTTTACACTAACCAACACCTGGGTCAAGATATCTAGGGCATGAACCATATCTGACTGTATGTTTTATCAATAATCTGGTGCAAATGATACAACAATGTCTCCTGGTCGGCAGAGTGACTGCCTGCCCACCGACTGCTAGAGAACACACCCTTTTGTTCTCTAGGTGTCTGCTCCTTCTCTTACCTGTGCCTGCAGCTAGGTGAAGGGTGTCCTGGAACCCTTACAAGTCCTTTTTCAGTAAATACAGCATTCTTCTTATATTTATATAGCTGTTTTCTTTTAAGGGAGCTCCTGGGTGACGCAAACAGTTAAGTGCTTGGCTGCTAACTGGAAGGCTGGCTGTTGGAATCCACCAAAAGGCACCTCAGAAGAAAGG